CAGGTCGACTTTATGAGGGCCTGAAAATGGCCCTCGTTTTCAGGCTTTTAGGCTGAAACGACACAGGGCCTGTAGGCCCTCGTTTTCAGGCTTTCAGGCTGAAACAACACAGGGCCTGTAGGCCCTTGTTTTCAGGCTTTCAGGCTGAAAACGACACAGGGCTTGTAGGCCCTTGTCTTCAGGCTTTCAAGCTGCGCAGTATGCCACACCCCCCCCTCCTTGAAAGACCGAGCTTACCTGTGAGGGCGAAGCTGCCTGTCGGAGGGAGGGACCAAAGTTTGGGTGGGAGGGGCAGGTTTGCGAAGCTTCCTTAGCTAGTCTTCATCACTCGTAGTCGGCGTAGATCAACGGTGCAGATGCTTGCAAATCTGCGAACTTGGTGTCCAAAATGTCGAAGGACACGACCTCGCTTGCATGCGGGGCGAAGTACACGGGGACGGGGTCAATGCACCGCTCGATTGACTTGTGCGTGTGACTGTCAACCAACGTGACTTTTGTGGGCTGCGACTTCCTCCGAACGCATGGCCCCAGGCTAGTGCGTACCAGAAAATCTTGGCCCATATAGTTGCGAGTGCTTCCACAATCGATCAAAGCGCTGCAGGCCGCCTCTCCGATCTGAATGCGTATGTACAACAACCGGCGATGCGGTTTTCGCCCTCCCTTTTCTCTGGGAGTTGTTGTTGCTTCGCTGCTGGACGACAGCCACCTGATCTCCCTCACGTGATGCTTGGGTGGCTGCCGGGTCGTCCACAATGGTGTCCAGTTGGACTGCAGCGACATGCTGCGGACGCGGACCAAATTTTCCCTTCTCCACATGGGCTGGCTGCCACGTTGTCTTCTCATGTGCAGCGGCCCGGTTGGTCTTTATGATCTCCCTTGCCTTGTCGATGATTTCGGCAAAGGTTGTGTATTGCTCACGATCACCAAGTGCGAGGCTCAAGGCGGCACATGACCGGTTGTAGAACTCTCGGCGCATATGCGAAAATGGCAACTTGAGATCGGGCGTTGCCACGATCTTTTGCCATTCCGTGAGCCAGTCACGCGTTGGTGTATTGCCTTGAGTCATGCTGAAGAGGTGGTTGATGGCGAGTGTTGGGGCGTCGTCCACGATGAACCACTTCTTCCATAGCTTCGTCAACTCGTCCCAAGAGATATTCTTATGTAGATCGACGACCTGGACGCCGTGGATGGTTGGCTGAGCCAGATCTGGCATCCGCCCTTTGAGTTGAGGAACAGCGCGCCTATACGAGTGCTCGGGGACGAAAAAAATCCGAAGTTCCGTTGTAAAGCCC